CGAATTCCAAGTGTCACGGTCACCAGTGGTGAGGAGGTCTCTGGCGAAACAACGGCCCGCCGCGACGACACGCCTGGGCGTGCGACAGGGAGGAGTCACATCAAGCAGAAAGCGGGGCGGCGGAGCGGGAGTTGTGGGCCCGTGCCATGGGTGTGGAGTTGAGGACGGGGACAGATCTGGCGTTCCCGTGGGGACGTGGGGGGCCTTTCCACATTCAGTGAGCATTCTTTGTTTGTTTCGCTTCTTTTCGCTTGGGGTCGGCTGTGGACTTGAGCGACTGCATGACCAGCACAGGTGGCGGAGGGGAAACACGAGGAGGAGGAGGAGGAGGAGGAGGAGGAGGTGGCGGAGGAGGAGGAGGAAGGGGGGGGGCAGGGGATTAACATGACCTGTTCTCATAAATTCGGACCTGCAGGGGCCGTTTTCGCGCTGTGGCCGCCAGGACGAGGAGGAGGACGACGGAGACGGGAGGAGGAAGCGCAATCTGAGAATCGCGGATCGAGGCATCGGATCGTTTTCGATTTGTTCGCTGGGCCTCCAGCGGCCTCCAGAGCATCCAGAGAACCCAAATGACCTGCGTGGGCAGAGGAGGAGCAGAATGGAGAGAAGGGAGGATGGGGAGGCTGTTGGATTGCTTCATAGCCCCAAAATCGCGTAGCGATTTGGGGGGCAGGAAAATCTTCAGGAAGGCTTTTGTGGGTTTCTTGGCTTCTATGCCTCTAGGCTTCCTTCCCTCTCACAGCCTGGGCGCATCTGAGGTGCAGCGGGTGGTATCTCACAGCCTTTCGCTGCAGTGCGGCAGGCGGATGCTCACGGCCGTGCGCACTGCCCAACAGCAGTTCAAGCGCATGACCACTTGCACCCCCGAGGCTCGTGGTCTCGCGATCTCCTCGAGCCCGTCGATAAGCTTGCTTGGGCCTGCGAAAATCGTTCGTGTGTGTGTGTGCGTGTATGTGTGTATAGATGTGCGTGTAGGTGTGTGCGTGCGTGTGTGCGTGCACGTGTGTGTGTGTGTGTGCGTGTGCGTGTGTGTGTGTGTGTGCGTCTGTGTGTGCTGTGGGTTGTGTGTGTTGTGTGTGTGTTGTGTGTGTTGTGTGTGTTGTGTGTGTTGTGTGTTGTGTGTTGTGTGTTTGTTATGTATGTTGTGTGTTGTGTGTTGTGTGTTGTGTGTGTTGTGATGTGTGTCATTGTGTGATTGTGTGATTGTGTGTGTGCGATTGTGTGTGATTGTTTGTGATTGTGTGTGATTGTGTGTGGTTGTGTGTGTGTTGTGTGGTGTGTGTGTGTGTGGTGTGTGTGGTGTGTGGGTGGGTGGGTGGGTGGGTGCGTGCGGCTGCGGCTGCGGCTGCGGGTGCGGGTGTGGGCGTGTGTGAGGGTGTGGTTGTGGGGGTGGGGGTGGGGGTGGGGGTCAAGTTAGCCAGCTCGAACGAGCCAGAGGGCTCCGTCCAGCCCCACCCACCCTCCCATAACATAAGAAGCAAGTGCGTCGCGTCCGACGCCTGTCGCTCATCTTATATCGTGGGCGGCTCGACGTTCAGCGCGCGACATGAGCTGCGTCTTATTCCGGCCGCGGATTGAGCAACGTCGACGAGAAACAATACCGCGCGCGATGTACGCCGCGCCCCGCTCCTGCCTCTCATGTTGCATCGTCGGCGAAAACATGTCCAGCGCGCGAAGTGCGCCGCGTCTCATTCCAGTCAAGCGCGTTGTACAGCCAATCGTTTCGCTCCTGCCGCGCATGGAGGAAGGGGAAAAGGAGGAGAAGGAGGAGGAGGAGGACGAAGAGGAGGACGAAGAGGAGGAGGAGAAGGAGAGGGAGAGAGGGAGGGATGGAAAAACTGAGGAGGAAGAGGAGAACGCCTGTTGGGAATTCGCGGGGCGTGCCATTCCCGCTACGCGATTCGCAGCGCCGACGAGGAGAAAGTACATGTTGGCAAAATAAAATCGACGTTGCGATGTTTTTTTTGCAGGTAGGACCGAGGGTCCCGCGTAGGGTTGGCCAGGCGTCCGCGCGCGATGTCTGCCGCGTCCCACTCGTGCTACACATTTCGCAGCGTCGACGACAACAAAGTCCATATTGACGAAAGAACGTTGAGTTTGTGATGTTTTTCGATGTGTAGGACGCGACCACCCGCTTCTGGTGACCCAGGCAATGTCCATGCTGCCCCATTCCTGCTGTACTTTTCGCAACTCGACGACATGTTGGCGAACAACAAGTTGAGTTTGCGTTGTTGCTTGACAGTTCGGACGGCGGGGGTGCTATCGGACTGCTACGTGGGGATGTGGGGGGTTGAATGATAGGAAGTACGGATGTGGGTGGGGTGGCGGTGGGGGTGTGGGGGTGGAAGTGGATGTGCGGGTGTGCGTGTGTGTGTGGTGGGGATGTGGGTGTATGGGGGTGTGGGTGTGTGTGGGTGTGTGGGTGCGTGTGTGCGTTTGTGTCGTGTGTGTGTGGTTTGCGCGTGTGTGTGTGTGTGTGTGTGTGTGTGTGTGTGTGGTGTGTGTGTGTGTGTGTGTGTGGTGGTGTGTGGGCCGCGCGCGCGCGCGGGCGGGCGGCGGGCGGGCGGGCGGGCGGGCGGGTGCGGGCGGGCGGGCGGCGGGCGGCGGGCGGGCGGGGCGTGCGGGCGTGCGTGCGTGCGTGCGTGCGTGCGTGCGTGCGTGCGTGCGGCGTGGCGTGCGTGCGTGTCGTGGCTTGCGTGCGTGCGTGCGTGCGTGCGTGCGTGCGTGCGTGCGTGTGTGTGGTGTGTGTGTGTGTGTGTGCGGTGCGTGTGTTATGTGGTTGTGGTTGTGGTGTGGGCGGTGTGTGGTGTGTGGGTGTGTGGTGTGTGTGGTGTGTGGTGTGTGGTGTTGGTGAGTGGTGAGTGGTGAGTGGTGGTGAGTGGTGAGTGGTGAGTGGTGTGTGGTGTGGTGTGTGGTGTGTGGTGGTGTGTGTGTGTGGTGTGTGGTGTGTGGTTGTGCGTGTGTGTGTGTGTGGTGTGCGGTGTGTGTGTGTGTGGTGTGTGGTGTGTGTGTTGTGTGTGTGTGTGTGGTGTGTGTGTTGGTTTGGTACTGGTATGTGGTGTGTGTGGTGTTGTGTCTTGTGTGTCTTGTGTGTCTTGTGTGCTTGTGTGTGTGTGTGTGTCTGTGTGTGCGGTGTGTTTGTGTTGTGTGTGTGTGTGTGTGTTTTTGTGTTGTGTGTGTGGGTGTGTGGGTGGGAGGGGGGTGTGGGGGGGGGGCTTGGGGGGGGACGTGGGGCCTGAGCGCTAAGGCAGGGCCAGGGGAAAGGAGGAGGGGGGGATGGAGGAGGCCAAAGGAGGGGAGGAATGAAGAGTGCATGATGATGAAGATGTCGAGGAGGTGGATGATGACGGTGATGTTGGTCAGAACGAAAAGGTGGGAATGATGAAGATTGGAAGGACGAGGCGGACGACGGCGACAAGGAACAAAAAGCACGGGGGAGGGGAGCTGCAGAAGGATGACAAAGGAAACGGAGGAGGCGGAGGAGGAGGCGGAGGAGGAGGACGAGGCGGAGGAGGAGGGAGGATTGAGGAGCGAGGAGGAGGAGGAGGAGGAGGATCGAGGAGCGCGGAGCGAGGAGCGAGGAGGAGGAGGAGGAGGAAGAGCAGGAGGAGGAAAAGGAGGAGGATCACTGCCCCCGAAGGAGAGAGGTCAAAGAAGCGAGGAGGGGAAAACACGGGGAGGTGCCAATCGAAGGAGAGTTTTCCGCACCATGGCGAGGGGCCCGAATCCGATTCCGCGCCAGCGGCCGCCGACATGGCCATAGCTAGGGAGAGATGGATCCACGGCGAGCGAGGGTTTATCGAGTACCGACCTAACAAGCACGAGCGAGTTCGTCAAGCCTCTGGGGATCTCTGGACACCTCTGGGGACTTCCTGGGCCCCTGTCATCCTCCGGGGGGGCCCCTCGTCTCCACGGCCTGGCTCTCCCCGAGCAGTCCTGGCCAGAGCGCAGTCCGGAACAGGCCTCAGGCGGTCGTCGCTTAGGAGGGAGGCCCCCACGGTCGTGCCCGCACCGGCGAGACCCCGCTGACAGTCGCCCAAGGTCGCCCCGGCTGGCCTCAACAGACGCCCCCGAGTAGTCCGGGCCGGTCTCGAGAACATGGCTATGCACGAACGAAATGGGCACGGGAAGAACAGGCACAATGCCCAACGGCAGCTCCTGCTCCTTTTGAACAGGGTTCGCTGTCCGCGCCGCCGCGGCCTGTGTCCAATTGAGACAGGAGGCCGCCTGCCCAGCAGCGGCCGCTCTTGCTTTGGGGCAACTTTTGCTGTTGGGCATTGTACCCATTCTTTCCGTGCCCATGTCCGGCGTCCAAAAGGGCACCGCCTCCACCAGCGCCCTTGGAGCGCTCCGCGCCACAGAGCGAGGGGGGTTCTCGGACTGCCCCGGACCACCCTGGGGGCCCGTCGAGGCCAGCCGGGACTACCTGGAGGGGCCGTCTGTGCACGACCCGAAGGTTTACCAGAGGGGAAAAACACACAGACACAATTAATCGTCGATCCCCAGGAAGTATGGGAAAGTCTGGGAAGTGGGGGGGGATACAGGACCCAGAAAATATGGGGAAATATGGGGATTCCTTTTATTTGTGTGTATTTCTTTGTGTGTCCTGGGGCCCCTTCAGGTTTACCAGACCACGCAGCCATTTTTCGAGTGTGTCTGACCCCCGTCCGCGCCGCAGCGCCCGACGAGGCGCTCGGCACCCGCCCAGTGGATGGCCGGCATCACCAGCATCGCCGCGTACGTCAGCATCGCGGGCCTGGTGTGCACTGTGGCCGCGGGCGCGCTCATCTCCGGCGAAGGATCCGCGGCATGAGCATGCACCTTCGAAGCTCCGCGCGGATCTCTTGGATCGGCGCTGGAAGCCGCCCCCCCCGGGCGCGCGGAACGCGCCAGGGGCGCCGCCAGAGGGGTCGTCCAGCGCCGATCCCAGCAGTCCGCGCGGAGCTGCTGAAACTTGCGCGCTCGTGCCGCGCTTCCCTCCTCGGCCCCTCTACGACAAGCGCTTCACCGCCCTGCTGCTGCCGCCGTTCCTGCTGTGGTGGGGCGCCGACTACTGGGCGAACGTGCAGGATCGGCGCCTCGAAGATGGGGGCCCTGAGGGGTGGGGCCCTCAGGACGCGGCGCCTCAAACGACGCAGGTCCACCCTCGGATCCCTTCCTGTCCTGAGGGCCTCATCCCTCAGGGCCCCGCCTCTGAACCGCCGACAGGAGGCGCGGCGCCAGGCCGCGGAGGCGGACCGGGCGGAGGCGGACAAGGGAGAGGCGGAGCCTCCCGCGGCCGCTGAGGCGGCGGCGAAGGCCAAGAGGCGGAACACGCCCGCGCGCGGGTGACCGTGCCCGCCGCGGCGGTGCGCGGCGGCGTCGGCGGCGCAGCAGGCCGCGGAGGCGGCGGGCGAAGGGCGCGGAGGGGCGCGAGCGGCTGCGCGAGCACCGCCGGGCGGCAGCCCGGCTCGGCGACGCGCGCGCGGCGGGCGCGCTCTGAGGACGCGGCGGCCGCGGGGCTCTCGCGCTGGTCGCGTCTCTCTCTCTCTCTCTATGTCTCGGGGCGCGCGCGCGCCCAGGGCCTCCGTGCTGCTCGTGGGGGGGGGAGGAGCAAGAGAAGGGAGGGAGGGAGGGAGGGAGGGAGGGAGGGGGGGAGAAGGAGGAGGAGGAAGAGGAGGAGGAGGAGGGAGGAGGAGGAGAGGAGGAGGAGGCGAGGAGGAGGAGGGGTGGGAGGAGGAGGAGGAGGAGAGGAGAGGAGAGGAGGAGGAGAAGGAGGAGGAGGAGGAGGTGGAGGAGGAGGAGAGGAGAGAGGATGGAGGAGGAGAGGAGGAAGGGGGGATGGCGAGGGGGAGGGGAAGGAGGGCAGGGGGAGGGACGGCGAAGGGGGAGGAGGAGGGGGAGGGCGAGTTGGAGGGGGAGGAGAAGGAGGAGGAGGAGGAGGAGGAGGAGGAGTTGGAGGAGGAGTTGGAGGAGGAGCAGGAGGAGGAGGAGGAGGAGGAGGCGCAGGCGGAGGCGGATGAGGAGGAGGATGAGGGCGGATGAGGGGGAGTGTGCCATTGTTCCGCGCACAGGCTGCCGGCGCGAAGAATTGTCAGGGCCGGCCTGCCTCCTCAAAGGGGAACAGCTGGACCGAGCATGGCGCTCCCGCGGGCCGCTGGTTGGCAAACAATGCAAGTCGCGTGGGGGGCTTGAGATCTTTTACTTACTCCGCGTTTTGCCGATCGGATCGGCGCGGGCCCCCCCCCCCCCTCCCCCCCCCCTCTGGAGTAGGTCCTGGCTGTTTTTTTGGCGCCAGTTTCGAGCAGGTGGAGCCCCTCCCCCAGAGGACGCACTCATGCAACGAGTCGCAGTGAGCAGAGGTCTGGAGCCAGATCCCCCCTTCCCTTCCGCCCAATGTCGTAACGCCGAATAAGAAAACGTTCACCTTGTGAGAGTGGCCGGGACGCACGATCTAGCACTGTCCCTTGGTGCGTGAATTCAGCGGCGCGCCGAGGGGAGGAGTGAGAGGGGGCAGGCCTTCTCAGACGGCGGCTGGGCTTCTCAGAAGCCTGCGGCCATCTGAGAAGCCTCCCTGCGTCTTCGGAGAAGGCCTGGAATGATGGGCCCATTTTCCACCACCACTACCATAGGTGTCGCGGGGGAGAGGGGAGGATGGGGAGGTCCTCCTTATCCCCCTCCTTCTCCCCCTCCTTCTCCTCCTCCCCCCTCATACCTATTGCAGTGGTGGTGGAAAGTCGGGCCATCATAGAAAGCTTCTCGGAAGGCCGGATGTTTCCTAAGCCTTCCGAGAAGGCTTGCCTCCTCCGTCTCCCCCCCTGGGCGCGCCTCCGATGAGTGGAGTTTCCAGGTGCTGACTGTCGTTCCAGTCTTGTCGTTGTTGCCCGCCCCGCGACCCACCCGGTACCGACACGCGCGATCTACGGTCGGCCCTGATTAGCATCAGGGGGAAAAACACGCACAATAATCGTCGATTCCCAGGAAGATTTGGGAACATGTGGGCACTGGGGGGGAAGACGAAAACCCAGAAAAGATGGGATAGTGCGGGGGATCCTGGGATCTGTGTGTATTTATTTGTGTGTCCCAGGTCTCCTTCAGATTAGTAGGTCGACCCTGCCTGATCAAGGGTGCCCTCGTGCATCCTTGGCCTCTCGACCCATGCCGTCGGCATTCCAGCGGCAACGTGGCCCCCGCAAGGGCTTCGTGCGCTCTCGCGTGGTCGTTTCAGCCAAGTCGTACGTCGGGCACCTCCTCCTCCTCCTCCTTCTCCTCCTGATCCTCTTCCTCCTCCTCATCCTCATCCTCTTCCTCCTCCTCCTCCTCCTTCTCCTCCTGATCCTCTTCCTCCTCCTTCTCCTCCTGATCCTCTTCCTCCTTCTCCTCCTCCTGATTCTCCCTCTTCTCCTCCTCCTCGTCCTCATCCTCCTCCGCCTATCGGGGGCAGCGCCAGGGGTGGAAGGGCTCGGGGGGGTGGGGCCGAGGCTCGAGGTGTTCAGGCGCTTCGTGGGCTCTCGTCGGCTCTGCAGCCTCGGGATGCTGTCTGGCGGCTGCGCCTAAGTCGGGCACGTCCCTCTACAGGAGGAATCTTCAAAATTAGTCAAATCATCCCAGTGCGACCCTACCTAGGAGTTGGAGCCTCTAAGAAAGCAACATGCATGGAACATACGTGCGCACACACAAACATATATGTATATGTATATGTATATATTTATACATATATGTATATAATTATATATATAGGTAAGCACATGTATATACATCTATATCTATATAGCAGCAGCACTAGTGGATGCTGTGCCGCGCCATGCTATGCTATGCTATGCTATGCCATGCCATGCCATGCCATGCTATGCTATGCTATGCTATGCTATGCTATGCTATGCTATGCTATGCTATGCTGCGCAATGCTATGCTGGTCTAGGCTAGGCTATGCTATGATATGCTATGCGATGCTGCGCTGTGTTATGCTGCGCTATGCTATGCTATGCTATGCTATGCTATGCTATGCTATGCTATGTTGTTGCTTTGCCTTCGCTGTTGCCTTCACTTTTGCCTTTGCTTTTGCTTTTGCTTGGCACCCAGGGAGCGCAACTGGGGGAACCGCGCGTTTGCTTTTACCTTTGATGTTGCTTTTGCTTGGCTCCCAGGGGACCAGGGGAACCGCCCGGGGCGGGTTCCACTGCCCGGCCCCTTTAAGCAAAGAAAGTAAGAACCCTTCTAGGCAGAGCCTAGGTAGGGAAAAAGAGTCTGGGGACGATCTGTTGACCAAGTGTTGCCCACTTTTGAACAGTGTTTGACTGTGTTTTATGTGTCCTTCAGAATCTGCCTGTAGGGGGACATGCCCGACCTGAGTCAAGTCCGAGTGTGCACCCGCTTGCGACCAGCCCACGTTGTTCTGTGAAGAGAGGCCGCCCGCGGCGAGCTGCCCGTGCACAGCTCGAACATCGGTGCCTTGCGGCGGGCCTCATCGCAGTGGCTTTCGGCCTGCGCGACCCGCCCGTGGCCGACCGTAGACGCGCTAACGGTGTGGTAGCTGACGGCGATGTAGGACAACCAATTGTAGGAAGCCCGGGTCCGTGGCCAAACCAACAGTAGGAACGCGTGCTTCGTGTTTCCCTACAACTCGTTGTGTCGTTTTTGCTTGATAGATTCGCACCTCTGAAATGTAGGAAGCGGTGTTTCGTGATGTCCTACATGTTGTTCTGCGTGAGCTCGGTGTCACAAAAGAACAACTTCAACCACACCGTGAACCAAGCACGCCGTTGGCGCGGCCCTGGGCTGTGTGAAGGGAGGCCGCCCGCAGCGGGCTGCCCGTGCACAGCCACGCTGTCGGTGCCCTGCGACGGGACTCTTCACAGTGGCGTTCGGCCTTCTCCTCCTCCTCCTCCTCCTTCTCCTCCCCCTCCCCCTCCCCCTTCTCCTCCTCCTCCTCCTCCTCCTCCTCCTCATCCTCCTCCTCCTCCTCCTCCTCCTCCTCCTCCTCCCCCTCCTCCTCCTCCTCCTCCTCCTCCTCCTCCTCCTCCTTTTCCTCCTCCTCCCCCTCCCCCTCCCCCTCCTCCTCCTCCTCCTCCTCCTCCTCCTCCGCCGTAGCCATTTTGGCTCAAGGCGGGCCAGGGGCGGCCCGTTCACCCGACCCCCCAGCCTCCCGCCCCCCGCCGAGGGCGCGCGAGGTGCCATAACGGGCGGCGCTCGCCGCAGCCGCCCCCCTTCTCCCGCCTGGCACAGGTGCTTGCGGCGGCGAAGGGCCAGCGCCCGACTGCTGCTGCGCGCTGAGGCCGCGCGGGCTCTCCTGGCAGGACATCGCGGAGACTTCTTGCCCAAGGGGCAGGTGATGCCAGGGGACAATGACAACAAAGTCTGGGCATGCAAGGCCACCAGGCAATGTGGATTCAAGAACAACTACCCATCTCGTCAGGAGTGTTGGGCATGCGGTAGGGATCGTGATGGCCGTCCCACAAAGAAGACGAAGGACCTCTAGAGTACGCCGCACCCGCGACGCCGCAGCCGTCGCCCTTCTCGCACGCGTTATGGTCCTTCTCATGCTGGCTCTGGTGGCAGCGGCGCCGCCTCCACGGTGGACTCAGCCGAGGGGGCCCACAGTGAGGTCACCAAATGCCGCAAGGCCTTGCGCCAGATGCGCCGCCTCTACCAGAACGACGAGCACCCCATGGTGGCCATGGCCAGAGCCGAGCTGGCAAAGGCAGAGGCCACCGCACGGGCGAGCATGGCACCCGACGACCTCTTGCGCAGCGCCAAGGATCGTCTGGCCGCCAAGGAGGCGGAGCACGCGAGTCAGACCAAGCGTGTGGCGGAGTTGCAGCAGCAGCTGGACGACGGGCAGAAGCGGCTCACGGGTCTCGCGGCGGAGCTCTCCACCTTGCAGGCCGAGGTGGCCCAGGCTCAGGCAGCGGTCGCCGCTGCAGCAGCAGAGGCCACTGCCCGTGTCTCAGGCCAAGCTTCTGCCGCAGCCGCTACCGACGCCACCCAGACCCCCGCTCACTTCCAGGATCTGTTTGCGCAGGCCCAGCGAGCGGTCTCGGAGGGTGCCAGCCGTGACTCGGTGGGGCTCAATTCCTGGCTTCCCTGGAGCGCCAGCTGGCCGCGCCGCCTGCTGCCCCTGCTGCCGCGCAGACGCCCGCTGCCGCTACGCCTTCGGTCCCGATGGTCGGCATCCAGCAGGTTGGCGGGACATTTCGTACCTCAGCAGACGGCACTGCATCCGAGGCTTGGGGGCACTCTTAGACGACGTGGGCTTCGGGGCTCCCGCAGACGCACAATCGGGCTGGTCACCTTCAATGGCAGCTGTTCGACTTCGTGTCAGGCGTTTTTGATTGGAGGTGCGGGGAACGCTAAGATTGTGGTTGCGCAGGAGCTCAGGATTGATGGAGAACTTCTGGACAAGGCTCGGTGCTGGGCCAGTACGAGAGGCTGGTCGCCTTACATCACTGCCTGCCGTCGTCTCCCCTCAGGGAAACCGAGCGCTGGAGTGGCCATCTTTGCGCGGTCACATGTGCCCACTACGTTGCTTAGTGGGCCAGGGGGTGAGTGCACTTTTGAGGTCTTCCCAGCGTGGTCAGTGGTCATTCATGTGAATATGGGGCTCCCTGGCGGCTTTCTTCTGGGATCTGTTTATATGGAGTCTGCCAGTGAATGCGTCGCAGCCAACCTGCAGCGGTACTGCCGACTGGCCGAGTACCTCCGATTCTTTGGACTGCCGTTTCTTCTGGGTGGTGATTGGAACTGCTCTCCTCAGGATTTTGTTACCTCAGGCCTGGCGGACATTCTCACCGGTGCCCCTCTGCACTGCTCAGGCGCGGGCACGTGCCGATCCGCAGCGGGCAACTACTCTATGATCGACTACTGGATAGTCTCGCGAGATCTCCAGGCCGCTTGCCATCGCCCCCATGCCTTGGAAGCCTGGCCCGCCCGCCCACGCCGTCCAGTACGATGCGATCTCGCAGCTCACCCAAGGCGCCTTCGACAGCTCACCACGGCATCACCGCGAGCCCCCCCTCGAGCGGCGCCGCCCAGTGCAGGGGCCCACCCACTTCACGGACCACCTCCTGACCGTGATCACCTGGACACTATCGAGGCTGACGCCCATCAGAAGGCCCCTGCCACCCCAGTCCAGGCTCAACAGAGAATTGATGCTATCTATGCTGCTTTGGTTTCTCACACCGAACAGGATTTGCTGCACATCTATCAGATAGGGGATAAGGAGCCCTACACGGGGCGAGCGCAGGGCACGAAGTATGTCTGGCGTCCTCTCGGCGGTCCCCGTCGCGGGCCACGTCCTGCTGCGGGCAGCGGGCCCAGGTACCTACATGCCGTGGCACTGGCAGTCCGTGACATCGCCATTCGACTGGATCGTGGGCAGAGGGATCAGGACCGCTGGCGTCACTTGGGTCGTCTTCTACGGCCTGGACACCGACAGGATGTGCACGCAGAGGAGGCCCATTTTCTTTTGGATCACACATGGCCAATCCTTAGAGCGGCTAGCGCCCAACATCCCACTACCGCCTCCCTGTGGATGGAAGCTTTGGCGGAGCAGCTCCCTGGCACTGCAGTTTCTCAGGAGACCGTCGCTGCTAGGACGAGGCTCGCGGGTTTCCACAAGTGGGCCAAGGAGACTTTCGCTTCGGGCCCAGCGCCACTGTTCCATCTCACGCGCATCCACACTTGGTTTCACAGTCAAGCTCAGCGGCACGGCGAACTGTCTACCCATCCCCAGGCGATTCCTGACAGTCAGATGGACATGTGGAATGGCATCTGGGAAGGACGTCCAGTCACTACCCCTGCTGGTCCTGACGCATACTTTGCTTCACCTCACACGGGTCATTATTCGAATGACTTTCCTCATACATACGATGAAGTTATTCCTGCCGCTCCTCTGGATGACGCTGATCCTGATATCTTGAGTGACTTGGCCAGACTGCCAGCCAAGGCACTACCAGTACCCACTGTCGATCAGGTTCGGCGAGCAGCCCGCGCCTTCCCTTGGCGCACAGGATTGGGTCACGATGGCATTCCACCGAGGGCGTGGTCATTGCTTACAGACTCTGCTGTGGCGATGGTGGTATACCTTTCTTGGGCAGCTGAATCATGGGGGCGATGGCCCTCGGCGATGCTCTCTGTGCACATTATGTTTTTGGCTAAACCCCAAGGGGGATTTCGCCCGATCGCCCTGTTGCCATCACTGTATCGGGTGCACACAAAGCTGCGCACCGTGCACGTTCGCCAGTGGATAGCGGATCACAGCAGACCTTTCTTTGCCCTTGGCGCTGGCAAGTCCACTTTGGAGGTGGGTGCGCGCACACTGCTTCACGATGAAGCCCGAGAGGGCGAGGCGGACAAGGGCGCACTCACTGCTCTGATTGATATCAGCAAATGCTTTGACAGAGTCTGCTGGAATCGCGTTCTACGAGCCGCTGCGGAGACGGAATTTCCTACAGCGCTGCTGCGCCTCTGTTTGGCCATGCACTATGCGCCACGACGGATTCGATGGGGGGCTTCTTACTCATACGCGGTGCAGGTTCAGAGAGGCCCATTTCCAGGTTGCTCAGTCGCAATGTTTCTGCTGCAGCTGGTCACGATGCTTCCGTTTGACATCTTCGAGCAGTCCTTCGCGAATGACAGTGTGCATCGCACTCTTGACATCTATGCGGGTGACATCACCTTGCAAGTGGAGTCCTCCCCGCAGGATCTGGCGCACCACTCGGTTCGCATCCTTCAGCGCTTAGCGGCAGTCCTTCGTGCCCTGGACCTGCCAATCGCCAGAGACAAGGCTAAGCTGCTTTCATCCATCAATGGGGTCGCGACAAAGGTGGCTCACATCATGCGCAATCATGGGTTTCAGGCCACTTCTGCTCTGGAAGTTCTGGGCATGGAAACCCGAGGGGGCCGCAGGCTACATTTCTCTTTGATCAGGAAACGCATGCGAAAGCTCAGGAAGAGACCCCCTCGCTTCAGGAGGCTGATGGGTCTTGCGCGCATAGGACGGGCCATTGCTCAGCCTTCCTTGGCCCCAGCGATGCTCTATGGTGTTCAGGTTGTCGGAGCTTCGGCCAGCATCATACGATTGATGACAAAGATGACGAGACTGGGATGGCACAGGACTCCGCCAGGAACGTCCTCATGGCTGGCTTCGCAACTGGAACCTCGTCGTAATGAACATCCAGAGGTCTTCGCCGTGGCAGAGCCATTGTATCAGTGGGCTCAGATGGCCTCGGATCCCGCCGTGCCCCACTCTTTGATGGAGAAGGCTTTCGCCACTCAGAGAGCCCGCCTCGGAACCAATCCTGAGGCCAGGGGTGTTGCGGGCCCCGCGGGGGCCGTCTGGAACATATTGCAGCGTCTGCGGTGGAGGGCGACCTCGGCTTTTCACCGGAAGACGGCGTCGGGCGCCCAACTGGATCTCGCGGAGGCGTCACTAGATTGGGTCCGCACCCTAGCCAGACGTGCTCATGCGAATCTCAAATGGGAGGAATGGGCGACGCGAGCAGATCATGCGCCAGAACTCCCAGCCCTTGCGCGACATGACTGTGGATACTGGATTGCTCCTCTCCAGCTTTTGCTCTCGCCTAAGGACCAGGCTAAGACCTGGGAGATGTCGCTGAGGGCCCAGGCTGCCCTACGCAGCACTGTCATTGGCGGGCAATGGACTCAATGGCGACTGTTTCAGCATGGATATACCAATCATGGTTGTTGTCTGCAGCGCATGCCTACCTTAGACACTTTGGCGCCAGAGGTCGAGGAGGACGATCGCAGGGGCCAGGCTTCTCTCGCTGAATCTGCTACTTGCCTGCGCCTGCCACCGGTGCCGCCTGAGGAGACTGGTGAGGAAGTTCAGGATGAAGTTAAAGGCACGTTGCATCACAGGCTGTGGTTCTGTCCTCGTTTGGAGGAGGCTCGCACGAGGGCGGTCGACCCCGACATCATCGAGGAAGCTCGGCGTGCGGACCCAGCAGATCTTTTCTTCACACGTGGACTGTTACCGCGCGATTGCCTTCCTGTCGTGCAGCCTCCTCATCTTCACGAGATATGGCGCTATGCGTATGGTGGCGACCAGCAGGACATCACAGGTGAAATATACACTGACGGCGCAGGACGGACCCACATTGGCTGGCCTGAGGCGGCGAGAGCTGGATGGGGCATTGCGCTTGTGAGTGGTACGCAGCTTCGGGGGCTAGCCTTTGGGCCGTTGCCAGGGTATCAACAGTCCGTCCCTCGAGCGGAGATGTACGCGATCATAATGGTGTTGCGAAATGGAGTCCTTCCACTTCACATTCACACGGATTGTATGATGACGATCGAAGGACTCCAGAGAGGACGTCAGTGGTGTTTGCATCGTCGCAGGCAACACGTGGACCTGTGGCGGGAGCTCTGGAGACTCCTCGATGACCATGGTGGCCTGAGCTCGGACCTCACCATCAGATATGTGAAAGCCCATCAGACCGCGGAGGAGAATCTTCATCATGATGGCACAAAGGGTAATGACTACGCGGATGTCGCAGCCAAGAGAGGCCTTGCAATTCATGACATCCCAAAAGCGGCTCGGGACACACACCGACGCTTGCTGGAACGTGTTCGTCAGGTGGCATGCTGGATCGGATCGTCCCAGGAGCTGACGGACCAGCACCCCGACCGCGTCGCGCCGATGTCCCGCCGCTGCCGAGCCCAGCAGCGCAGCCGCTGCCGAAGGCGCCAGGCGGCAGCGCGCGCAGCGCGGCGGCGGCGCCCGCAGGTGCTGCCTGGCGGGTGGCAACGGCATGCCCCTGAGTGTGCGAGCTGTGGTTGGAAATGTCAGCACTGTCCTCGTTTCGCTAGGTCCTTTCAAGGGGCTCGTAGGATGGCTCAGCAGTGGTGCGCCGTGAGATCCCGTATGAGCCCCTCTTTGCCTCCGCGGGCTCCCGAGGCCTCGAGCACTGCGAACCCTAGGCCGAGTGAGGTCCCTTTGGGAGGAGCCACGGAGCTTCGGCCTAAAAGGCCTTTCGAGGACTCCCAGGACCAGGCCAGGTTGGTTCGGCATCGGGTGGAAGTCCCTTCTCCTGTCGAGCCTCCTCTCTCCTCGCCTCCGCCCGCGCCGCCGACCAGGTCCCAGGCCAGGCCGTTCGATGAGCTTGCGGAGCCTTTTGTCCGAATGGTCCGACCTCGGGTGACTTTTGCCACACGTTCCCAAGGGATTGTTCGGGAAGCGGCCCTGGCAGTGGCCCCTCTGGCGTCCTCGGGGGAAAAACGCCTTCGCCTTCTTTGGCCCCCATCCAGGGACTCGGAGCCCGAGGCCGCTGCCAGCTTTGAAGGGGAGGAGGCTGTGTCGTCGACGTCGCGTCCCGTTCCGAGTCGTTCCTCCGCCGAACCCCCTCGGGCCCTCCTTCCCACTCTTGGGTTCGTGCCCCCAGAGGCGGCCAGGGGACGCATCCTTTATAGGGCGGGTGATCTCATAGGATGCACACGCTGTGGGTCTTTCTCAGAGCGCGCAGCCCGTTCGCAACTATTTGCCACCTGCGACCCCTCGGTCCTGGTGGGGAATCCCCAGCGCAGGTGGCGCAGAGATAACTTCGCTTCGGGGCGGCACCCTCGAGAGGGGAGGCGCCGCCCGATTCCTCTGCCCCGCCGAATGCTGGTTTCGGATCCTGCCGTCCAGTGGCTGGGTCTTCTCACGTAAATGAAAATTTCTTCATTTATCGGGTCGCTCATGCCGATGGGCATGAGTCAGAGCACGCCCTGTCGCCGAGAAGCGGGTGCTGGGCTATAGCAGGCTGTGCTCTTTTGGTGTGCGATTGTGCGTCTCTCGTCTTGTCCTGATATCTTGCCATGCCCCATGCCTGAACTCGGCGCGTCGCTCTATCTGCGTCTTACCCCTCTTCCTCCTCCTCCCTCCCTCCCTCCTCCCCTCCCTCCCTCTGCAGACGCGCCGGCGCAGGGACGGGCTGACCAGTCTGGACGGGTGCCCGCGGCGGGCCTCTGAGGCATCAGCCGCGATCAAGCCTGCGGGCAGCTCCTTTTATGTTACATCTTCGGGAGACCTCGCCTGCCCCCAAAATTGGTGTCTTTTCTTGTGCCCGACGCGGGCTCGATGCGGAGTCGACGCAGACTTGGCGTGGCTTCGGCGCGGATTCGACACGGATTCGACACGGATCCGACGAGCACGACATGGATTCGACACGGATTCGCGGCGGATAGGGCCGCGACGGGACAGACAAGGTCCCCCGAGGATGCAACATAACCCTCATACACACAAGCAGGCACTCTTGGATCTCCAGGTCACAGTCTGCTTGAGGCGCCTGACTGCTGCAATCACCGAATGGCCTCACCTTTTCCCTCGTCTCCATGGGGGCGGGCCGACACCGAATCCACTTTCGACGTCTTCCCACTTCAACTTTCGGAAACAAGCAATGACATAACCATAATAACTCGGAGGTCCGCCCGGATTTCTCGGATCGGCGCTGGGGCCCCCTGGCGGCGCCTCCGGCGCCGCCCTTGGCACGCTCCGCGCGCCAGGGAGGGGAGTCCAGCGCGGATCCGAGGAATCCGCGCGGACCTCAGAGTTTTTATGTTTGTGTCACTTTTCGTTCCCCTATCAATGGGTCTACCTGCCTCTTTCGGCCGACGGGCACTGAGATCCGCAAGACATATAAGCATGCTTCTGCATCGGAAGGGCAGAGGAGGAGGAGGGGAAGGAGGAGGAGGAGAAGGAAGAGGAGAAGGAGGAGGAGGAGGAGGAGGAAGAGGAGGAGAAGGAGGAGGAGGAGCA